CAGGGGTCTGTCTAGTTTGCCACTCTTGTGGACATGGGGTTTGATTCTGATTGTGAGTTCACTGCTTGGGTTTGATGGCCAAGTTTAGCTTCCCTGTTGAGATTTTTGTTTTCTGTAGACTTACACAGACAACTCATCTTATTCAGGTGGATTTGTGCAACCATTCTGATCGCTGGGGCTCAGTGTTAGCATTGGCTGGTAGGCAAAGCCCAGGTGAGGATCATGATGGTTTTCCCCAGGGAGAGAGAGATTGGTGATAGATATTAGGTTGATTGTCTGTGCTTGTGCAACTGGGAGTGGAGGATCTGGTAGAAGAACCTTCAGATAGCAGTTTTATGAAGCTCGTCCAATCAACTGGTTGTTTTTCTTGGCTAGAGTAAAAATAGAGGAATTGCTTTATCCTCCTTAAAAATTGAATGACTTATTTATATTTCCCCAAAGATGACCAACTGTAGTCATTTATGAAATATTTAGACATCTTCTGATACAGAATACATCTGCTTAAAATTTGCTTATGGTTATTTATGTAAGAAATATGGGTTCTTTTCTTTTGTAAAATTTAGTCAAGGAAAGTAAACTTCACAGACTTGTTATGTAATTATAATGTGGGAAAATGAGTTTGTTGCCCAGAACAACAAGTGTTTTTCTAATCTACTTATGTGTTTTATCTTTGTGTAAGATATTATTATAGTATTTCTGCTGCCCACAGAATATCTGGGCAGGGCAGCTCAAAGACCTCCTGCCAGACCTGCAATGCAGCACGAGGATGATTTTGGCTGTGGCAGTTCAGAAGCATGGAAAGCACCCTCCCTCCACAGATCTGTTACCACAGTAACTTTGATGACATTATCTTATACAGGGGAAAATAAGTTAATGGATCATTTACTTTGACTTTAAATATGAGATTTGTGAAACATAGAGAAATAAGAGACATGATTGATGAAAAGTGACTTTTGAAAGGGCCTTTTAATTTTCACTTGCTTCAGTGTACTAGGGATCAAGTTACAAGTTGATTGAGTGAAGAAATCCTAGTAAGAAATTTGTCCTATATGCAGCGAGAACAGTCGGAATTAGCAAAAAGTCTCCATTACGGTATGTGTTTGCGTTTTAAGAAATAACTTTGTTTTATTTCCAATTCATGTGTTATTATACCAAAAATATTTTGCATTAGTCTCTTCTTTCATGTATGAATTAGACCTCACATGTAGTTATTAACATCCATTGAACATAAACAGATAAGTCCTTTAAAAGACCCTCTTTTTCTTTTAAGGCGGTTAAAATTTTAGGTTACTAATTTGCTTGGCAGAACTCTTCATTGCACTTAGGTAAACTTCACTCCAAGCTAATTCAAAAGAGCATGATTTCCAAATGGCCGAAACCTGAATAATTTCTACTATAAATTCCCATTAAAAATCAAGCATCCAGTCAAAGACAAAACTTGATCTTCTGGTTAACTTGAAGGAAGAGTTTTTTCTTTCTAGGTTAAAGAAAAATTTGCTGACTTGTACTGACAGTTTCAGTGTGTCCTGAAAGAGACAGGCCTTAGCAACTGCAAACAGCTGTGCTCAGCTCCACCCTCATTCCACACACTAGCCCCTACTCTGGATGTAAAAAAGTTTCATGCAGCCCCTCAGACAAATGACTGAGAAAAAGAGAGGCCCAGATGATGTTTATCATGTATACGTCTGTATCTGAGGCTGCTCTTTGTTAGGGCATCTCTGGCCAGTCAGCATTGATTGACTCGTCCTGCTACGCTTTTTATATTCCTGTTGCAAAACAGAAATATGATTTTGCCATATGTGGGATAGTAGAGACAGAGGAAGATGAAAGCATGGCAGCCCAGACCAGTGCTTCTTAAATTCATGGCTTTCAAAACACGGATTTCTGGGTCCCACTCTCAGAGATTCTGACTCAATGTCTAGAGAACTGTGCCCCCTCTAAATTTCCATTGCTAACAAAAGCTCCCAGGTGATGCAGATGCTGCAAGTCTGTGGAATATACTTCAAGCAGCCCTGGCCGAGATAGCTAATTTTGAGAAAACTCAGGTGATGATAATGGAACTGCATTTCAGGAACAAAATTCATCAGAACATGATAGTCCAGCAGAGGGAGATTAGGCAGTCCTAGGCTGAAAAGCTGCAGCATTTTGACCCAGACCATCCTGATTTTAGCACTGAGAGTCCTGTGTCCTAGGAAACCACTCAGTCTCAGACAAACCAGAAAGTTGGTCACCCTACAAGTAATACTAAGCTAGTTTATAATGGTAGCTTTAATGTGTTTTAAAGTGATTGTTGTATAGCCTAACTTTTAAATTCCTGGTGTGTTTTAAGACAAGCCACTGAGCACACTGTGAAATGACAGGTAACCACATGTAATTGAGACACTGCCAGCTAGAGCCTTCAGCTTTTCTAAATGTCTTTTCTCATAAGTTGTGGTAGATTTGGAGTTCCCAGACTTCTCTGCAGATTGGAATCACCTGGAGAGCTTAACAAACTGATGTGTTCTATTCCCAAAGATTGTGAATTAATTGGCTTGGGGAGTGGCCTGGGTTCTTGTAGTTTTAAAAGATCTGCGCATGATTCTAAACTTGTAGACACATTTAGGGACATTCCTGGTACATAGTCTTCAAAGATGGTGGCTACTAATGCCTCCCACTTCGTACAGACACACCATTCATCTCATCAAGGGGTAGGGTTTTTTTCCCATCCCTTTGGTTCCTGCTGCCTTTGTGACTTGCTTTGAACAAGTCAAGCATGTTGGGAAGCTAGTCTCCATGCCAGAGGACAATCCATTGTAAGTCCACAGTGTTGTGAGGATGCTCCAGCTAGCATGGTAGAGAGAGCCACCATGTGAAAGAGCATTGAGACATCAGATATGTGAGGGAAGCTCTGTTAGACCTTCTTTCCCAGCCCAGTCAATAGCTAACTCTGACCAAGTAAGTAACCCCAGCTAGTGCTATCAAGAGCTGAACTGTGCAGACAAGGTCTCCTTTCTCCATTATTGTCTTAGGTCATTTAGCTTTGGGTGGTGTGTTATAGAACAATGTGTCACTGAAGCACAAGTGGATTCCCTGCACTTCTGTGTAGTAACATAAAGGGGGCATTTTGAAAGGTCCTGTAAAAACAGGGAATGTTTTGTCATCTTCAGCTCAAAGTGGAAAGCAAAATTAACGCTGTGTTGCTGTATATTAGAAGGGAAACACTATTTAATTAACAAAATTATTAATGATAGTGAGAAAAGATATAATAGCTTCAACAGTGCTTTCCCTTGTATGGCCCAGAGATCAGAGCCCAAGGTACAAGGCTTAGAGTGCTATCAGTTTTGGGGGAGCTGTTCAAACCCAGAGCATCAGGATGAACAAGACAAGATAAAATGTGATGTGATGCCATGTATTCCCACACTAGGTAGTGTTAAACAACAAGCTGGGATGGATGCACTGTGTTGCTCTACATGTGAGTGGCGTCACTTCTGTCACCTCTGTCACACTTGTAGAGTGACATAGTATATGCACTTGATATTTGGGACTTTTCCAGAAGGATTACAAAGAGGAACTATCACTTGGAGTAGTTCACGGGAGAGAAAACAGAAGAGGAACTTAGCTTTCTAGATCCGTCCTATTTCATTTTCTATAGATGAAGTTTTACCCCATGGGAAGCTAACTCCACATCTGGCTTCTCAGTGGCTACTTGGAAACCCAGGAACCATGCCACACAATATGATGTTTTACCCAAATCCAAAAGTGGAAGGGCACCTATGTGTACATGAGGTGCTTACCAAGAGACATAGAAAGGAAGAAGTTGAGGAAATCTGAGGTGAATGATTTTTTGTGTGCTTTAAATTTATTTATTGGTTTTTGCAGAAACACCATAGGTGTGCCTTACTTTGATACTGCTTTTGTAGACTACATTCTAAGGCTGAGAGAATCTCTTAGCCATATGCTTAGTAGCAACATAAATGAAATATTAGTCTTGACTGGTCTTTTCCCTTCTAATAATCACACCAAACTAAATACTGGACATTTGCAAAAGTGGTAAGTAGCAGCTCTGCTTTCATCTGCAGCTCCAAGGATTTGGTTTTTATTTTACTGTTTTGCAGAGTCATGTCTCTCCTAGGCAGGTCTTTTTCTGTGTTTTTTTTTTTTTTTTTTTTGCAATGGGGAAAACTATTTTGGGTGTATAAACATTATGCTATGTTTAGTTATTTCATGAGGTTGGGTAGTTCCTAAATGTCAGTGGCTTTATATGACTATCATTACATTTTGCAATCTAGTCTGAACCTTACTGTAGAAGTCATAATATAAGAGAAGCAAAGGTCTATTTAACATATTGGAAGGTTCCTTGTTCAGAGCTTTCTGGAAAAAAAGTTGTTTGGATTGGTTTCTCAGCAATCAACTTGGATTAGCTCATGTAGCACAAAGGCCATGATGTAGGACCAGCTGTATTCAGGATTCGAACAGTGAAGTCATAAAGAACTTTCTTTCTTTCTCTGTTTCTAATTTTATCCCTGTCTCTTGGTCCTTCTTTTGCTTATCATGGCTTTCTTCTTAGGCACATTTTTCTCTAGTGGCTCCATGATATACCAACAGATCTAAGCTTTACCTCTTGGCATAGTTTTACTTTAGGCAAAACCATAGGATTGAATTTAAATGGACAGGCCTAGAGTAAGTGGCCATTTTCAGATTTGGGAGGAATCTGAGTGCAGTTCTCCAGGGGAAATTAAAAATGCTGTATCAGAAAAATGTGAACGAATAGCAGGATGGCAGTAACAACAGATACACACTATTGTGGGAAAGGTGCTCACCAGTTTCCAGCTGAACGATTCAAGTTTTGAGAACTCACATGACTATCTGTAAGTGGACCCAAGTTTCAGGGAATAGACTCACATAACTGAGCTCGGGGAGACTGATATATAAACTGAGTATCCATTTATTGTTTTACAGTAAGAATGTTCGAACAACCTCAGCTGCCAATGTTGACAGAACAATTCATTTTCCCCACTTAGGTAAACCACAAGGAAAGCCAGTCATAAGAAATGTGTTAAATGAAGATGGATCAGAAAAACAGAGTACACAGTATCGTGGTCCACAGTAGGGTCTACCACAGGGACCAGGTAATTGGGATTGTTGGGGCCAGAGCAATATTGTTCCTAGATGGCATATGGAGAATCTGAAATTTTAATGCTTTGGGCTTCCCTTTTGGCCAGAATTTATCAAAGAGTGGCTCCAACCAGCTGCATTGAAATCACATGGCAACCTGATAAAATGATTTCTAGTCTCACCCCAGGCTTGCTAAATTGAAATTGATGAAATGAAGCTACATTTTCAACAAGCTTTCCTGGTTTTGTCTCTGTAGTATGAGATTATTCCTCTAAATGAATCAAATCCCTTTGTCCATGCATCTTTATTCTAATAGGATATAAGTGATTCAATTTCTGTTTAAATTATTAAATATTTTGTTTTTAAATACATGGCATAGCTAAATTAGGTATTTTGATTTGTTTTAAGAAAAGCCAAATGTGGGTGAAGGGGAGAAGAAAAGAAAGCACACTGCCATGTGTGTACCTACGCAACTGTCTTGCATGCTCTGCTCATGTACCCCAAAACCTATAATCCAATAAAAAATTTAAAAAAAAAGATTCTAATCATAATTATAAAATTATAAATTTCTGATTAGAAATTAAATATAGAAAATTTGGATAAAATGGAAATATGTGACGGATTAGGCAAAAGCATCTATAAATCTGTGATATTTTAAAAATATTTATTTTTGTGTGCGTGCTCATACCTCACTCCTCCCACAGGGTTCTATGTATACTCTAAATAGAATTTGATTTCTGCTTTCTTTATTCCCATTTAATTCCAGAGCAACTCTCTAAATTGTTACTCTTCATTTGCATAATATTGACTATTCTAAAATTTCCCATTCATACATATATAGAATTTTACCCCCTCAGATCATTAATCAGACATATTACATGAATTTTTTTCCATGTGTGGAAGAATGAGAGGTTGTGAAAGAATGAGATATTTACTTTAAAATAAAATAGAAGTAATCACATATTTATTTGACTAACAAAACCTAATTTTTCTAGGAGGGAGGCTTTTAGATATGATCCCAATAAGGGAATCTTATAACAAAGTTATAGAAGTTATGGTTGATGGTTAATTAACACGAGACTATTAAGTGCATTTAACCTCCTGTTATTGGAGTCGTTTACAAGCTTAAGTGAAAAAATTAATTTCTACAGCAAATATTCTAACAAATACTTTCTTTTTCTTTTTTATTGCATTTTAGGTTTGGGGGTACATGTGCAGAACGTGCAAAATAGTTGCATAGGTACACACATGGCAGTGTGTTTTGCTGTCTTCCTGCCCTTCACCCACATTTGGCATTTCTCCCCAGGCTATCCCTCCCCAGATCCCCCCTGCTGTTTCTCCCCATTCCCCCCAATAGACCCCGATGTATAGTACTCCCTTCCCTGTGTCCATGTGTTCTCATTTTTCCTCACCTGCCTATGAATGAGAATATGCGGTATTTCATTTTCTGTTCTTGTGTCAGTTTGCTGAGAATGATGTTCTCCAGATTCATCCATGTCCTTACAAAGGACACGAACTCATCATTTTTGATTGCTGCATAGTATTCCATGGTATATATGTGCCACATTTTCCCAGTCCAGTCCATCATCGATGGGCATTTGGGTTGGTTCCAGGTCTTTGCTATTGTAAACAGTGCTGCAATGAACATTCCTGTGCATGTGTCCTTATAATAGAATGATTTATAGTCCTTTGGATATATACCCAGTAATGGGATTGCTGGGTCAAATGGAATTTCTATTGCTAAGGCCTTGAGGAATCGCCACACTGTCTTCCACAATGGTTGAACTAATTTACACTCCCACCAACAGTGTAAAAGTGATTCTATTTCTCCACATCCTCTCCAGTATCTGTTGTCTCCAGATTTTTTAATGATCACCATTCTAACTGGCATGAGATGGTATCTCAGTATGGTTTTGATTTGCATCTCTCTAATGACCAGTGATGATGAGCATTTTTTCATATGTTTGTTGGCCTCATGTATGTCTTCTTTTATAAGGTGTCTGTTCATATCCTTTGCCCATTTCTGAATGGGCTTGTTTGGTTTTTTCCTGTAAATCCGTTTGAGTTCTTTGTAAATTTTGGATATCAGCCCTTTGTCAGATGGGTAAACTGCAAAAATGTTTTCCCACTCTGTTGGTTGTCGATTTACTCTAGTGACTGTTTCTTTTGAAGTGCAGAAGCTGTGGAGTTTGATTAGGTCCCATTTGTTTATTTTGGCTTTTGTTGCCAATGCTTTTGGTGTTTTGGTCATGAAGTCCTTGCCTACTCCTATGTCCTGAATGATTTTGCCTAGATTTTCTTCTAGGGTTTTTATGGTGCCAGGTCTTATGTTTAAGTCTTTAATCCATCTGGAGTTAATTTTGGTGTAAGGTGTCAGGAAGGGGTCCAGTTTCTGCTTTCTGTACATGGCTAGACAGTTTTCCCAACACCATTTATTAAACAGGGAATCCTTTCCCCATTGCTTTCTTTTGTCAGGTTTATCAATATTGTATGGTTGTAGATATGTTGTGTTGTCTCCAATGCCTCTGTTCTGTTCCATTGGTCTATATCTCTGTTTTGGTACCAGTACCATGCTGTTTTGATTACTGTAGCCTTGTAGTATAGTTTGAAGTCTGGTAGTGTGATGCCTCCTGCTGTGTTCTTTTTGCTTAGAATTGACTTGGCTATGCGGGCTCTGTTTTGGTTTCATATGAAGTTTATGGTGGTTTTTTCCAGTTCTGTGAAGAAAGTCAATGGTAGCTTGATGGGGATAGCATTGATTCTGTAAATTACTTTGGGCAGTATAGCCATTTTCACGATATTGATTCTTCCTAAACATGAACATGGAATGTTTCTCCATCTGTTTGTGTCCTCTATTATTTCGTTGAGCAGTGGTTTGTAGTTTTCCTTGAAGACGTCCCTTATGTTCTTTGTAAGTTGTATTCCTGGGTATTTTATTGTTTTTGTAGCAATTGTGAATGGCAGTTCGTTCTTGATTTGGCTTTCATTAAGTCTGTTATTGGTGTATAGGAATGCTTGTGATTTTTGCACATTGATTTTATATCCTGAGACTTTGCTGAATTTGCTTATCAGTTTCAGGAGTTTTTGGGCTGAGATGATGGGGTCTTCTAGATATACTATCATGTCATCTGCAAATAGAGACAATTTGGCTTCCTCCTTTCCTATTTGAATACCCTTTATTTCTTTTTCTTGCCTGATTGCTCTGGCTAGAACTTCCAGTACTATATTGAATTGGAGTGGTGAGAGGGGGCATCCTTGTCTAGTGCCGGATTTCAAAGGGAATGCTTTCAGTTTTTGTCTATTTAGTATGATATTGGCTGTTGGTTTGTCATAAATAGCTTTTATTACTTTGAGATACGTTCCATCAGTACCGAGTTTATTGAGGGTTTTTAGCATAAAAGGCTGTTGAATTTTGTCAAATGCGTTCTCTGCGTCAATTGAGATAATCATGTGGTTTTTGTTTTTGGTTCTGTTTATGTGGTGAATTACGTTTATAGACTTGTGTATGTTGAACCAGCCTTGCATCCCTGGGATGAATCCTACTTGATCATGATGGATAAGTTTTTTGATGTGCTGTTGCAATCAGCTTGTCAGTATTTTATTGAAGATTTTTGCATCTGTGTTCATCATGGATATTGGTCTGAAGTTTTCTTTTCTTGTTGAGTCTCTGTGGGGTTTTGGTATCCGGATGATGTTGGTCTCATAAAATGATTTGAGAAGGATTCTCTCTTTTTGGATTATTTGGAATAGTTTCAGAAGGAATGGTACCAGCTCGTCTTTGTGTGTCTGGTAGAATTCGGCTGTGAACCCATCTGGACCTGGGCTTTTTTGGTGTGGTAGGCTCTTAATTGCTGCCTCGACTTCAGACCTTGTTCTTGGTCTATTCATAGTTTCAGCTTCCTCCTGGTTTAGACTTGGGAGGACACAGATGTCTAGGAATTTATCCATTTCTTCCAGGTTTACTAGTTTATGTGTATAGAGTTGTTTGTAATATTCTCTGATGATGGTTTGAATTTCTGTGGAATCTGTGGTGATTTCCCCTTTATTGTTTTTTATTACATCTATTTAGTTGTTCTCTCTTTTATTTTTAATCAGTCTGGCTAGTGGTCTGTCTATTTTGTTGATCTTTTCAAAAAACCAGCTCTTGAATTTATTGATTTTCTTGAAGGGTTTTTCATGTCTCTATCTCCTTCAGTTCTGCTCTGATCTTAGTTATTTCTTGTCTTCTGCTAGGTTTTGAGTTTTTTTGATCTTGCTCCTGTAGCTCTTTCTATTTTGACGATAGGGTGTCAGTTTTGGATCTCTCTGCTCTTCTCAATATAGGCGCTTATTGCTATATATTTTCCTCTAGAGATTGCTTTAAATGTGTCCCTGAGATTCTGGTATTTTGTGTCTTCATTCTCATTGGTTTCGAAGAACTTCTTTATTTCTGTCTTCATTTCATTGTTTATCCAATCAACATTCAAGAGCCAGTTGTTCAGTCTCCATGATGCTGTGCGGTTCTGAGTTAGTTTCTGAATTCTGAGTTCTTACTTGATTGCACTATGGTCTGCGAGACTGTTTGTTATGATTTCAGTTGTTTTGCATTTGCTGAGGAGTGCTTTACTTCCTATGATGTGGTTAATTTTACAGTAGGTGTAATGTGGTGCTGAGAAGAATGTATATTCTGTGGTTTTGGGGTGGAGAGTTCTGTAGATGTCTACCAGGTTTGCTTGTTTCAGGTCTGAGTTCAAGCCCTGGATATCCTTGTTAATTTTCTGTCTGGTTGATCTGTCTAATATTGACAGTGGAGTGTTAAAGTCTCCCACTATTATTGTGTGGGAATCTAAGTCTCTTGTAAGTCATTAAGAACTTGCCTTATACATCTGTGTGCTCCTGCTGTATTGGGTCCATATATATTTAGGATCGTTATCTCTTCTTGTTATATCGATCTTTTACCATTATGTAATGACCTTCTTTGTCTCTTTTGATCTTTGTTGCTTTAAAGTCTATTTTATCAGAGACAAGAATTGCA